GACTGGGGAATCTCTCCTGGTTTTGACGAACTGAGGCACTACTGAGTGTTTAATAAGGATATTATACCAGATCACTTTTAAACAATATCCCTCTGCTATGGTTTAAATATCCCCTCCAAAGCTCCAGTTGAAACTTAATCCCTAATGTGGGTATGTTGACAGGTGAACCCTTTTAACAGGCGATTGGATGGTGAAGGCTCTGTCCTCATGAATGGATTGATCCATTCACAGATTTATGGATTAATGAGTTAATGGATTAACAGGTTCTCATGGGAGTGGGGCTGGTGTCTTATAGGAAGAGGACGAGAGGCCTGAGCTGGCATGCTTAGCCTTGCCATGTCATGCCCTGCACTGTCTCAGAAGTGCAGAGAGTTCCCACCAGCAATAAGGCCCTCACCAGATTTGGCCATTTGACCTTGGACTTCTTAGCCTCTATAACTATAAGAAATAAATTCTGTCCAGGCACGGTGGCTCAAGCCTGTAATCCCAGCACTTTGGGAGGCCAAGGCGGGTGGATCACAAGGTCAAGAGATCGAGACCATCCTGGTCAGCAAGGTGAAACCCCGTCTCTACTAAAAATACAAAAAAAATGTAGTTGGGCATGGTGGCGCGTGCCTGTAATCCCAGCTACTCAGGAGGCTGAGGCAGGAGAATTGCCTGAACCCAGGAGGTGGAGGTTGCGGTGAGCCGAGACTGCGCCATTGCACTCCAGCCTGGGTAACAAGAGCAAAACTCCGTCTCAAAAAAATAAATAAATAAATAAATAAATTCCTTTTCTTTATAAATTACTCAGTTTCAGGTATTCTGTTATAAGCCACAGAAAATAAGACACTCTACAAAGGAAAGTGATGCTGGCTGCGGTGAAAAGGGGTGGGGTGGGAGAGTCTGGAAGCAGAGAGACAGATTGGGAGAGAATTTCTCAGCCAATGAGCTGAAGACCGCTGCTGTCCCACAGACAGGTGATGGGGTACCAGGAGCAAGGCTCCCCTCAGACCTCAGCAGATCAGCAGAAGGGGACAGCAGCTGGAGTCACTGGGCAGGTGGCCTCCAAAACGTGACCTCATCCATTGACCCAGGTACCATTCAAATATAAAAATTTTCGATGAACATCATGACGTGAACAGTACTGGGAAGTAAAAGATATTTGCCTCACAGAGTAGTGGTGGGGAGCCAAAGGAGTGCGTGAGTTCAATCACAGGATGTGTTTGCCTGGGTGACCCACAAGAGCGGGGAAGAACAGAGCACTGCTGAGTGACACTGAGCTTGGGAATGCAAGTGTCTGAGGGGCAGTGGTGGTGCTGGGGCAGCTGGCTCTGGAGAACAGTGAGCAGAGCTTTCGACACGTGAAGTGAGAGTGATGCCAGGACGTTTAGTGGAGACTTTCTAGTACCTTTTTCCCGAATTTTTGGCATAGACCTTATGGATGCTTTTCCCTAATGCTGTCCTTTTTTTCCAACTTTAAATTTCAATGAATAAAAACATGTTGTATTTGAAGTATGAAAAAGCTGAATTTTTTACTAGCAGTTTGAGGATGGGCTTGCAATGGTGAGCAGAACCCATCCAGCTTTGCTTTCCAAGCACACTGAGAATTCCAGAGATGCCTGCCCTAGAGAGTGTGGCTGGTGGGGAGCTCTGAGCCTAGAATCAGACACCCAGGCTGAGAAACCCCAGCCTGGCCCAACATCCTCTGAGTGTACAAGTCACTCAGCCTCCATGCACTCACGTGTAACCCTCAGTAGAAAGGAAATAACAACAGTACCTACGTCACAGAGTCGTGCAGCTCATGGGAATTAATGCATGGCAACATTCAGGATGGCTTTGGGCACAAAATGAGCTTCATTAAAAGGTGGCCATTAATATGGAATCCACTGATCAAAGCCTTGCACACAATGGAAGTCCCCACATAGGCATGAGGGCACAGCACCCGTGGGTGTGTAGCAGTGGGCATGTGAGGTAGTGAATACAGTTGAGGACCAAATTTTAGTGTGGCAGTGACTTGAGGAGCAGACAACACAGCATGTATGGGAGAGTTCATCAACTTCTTGACAGTCTTCAGGGGACAGCCCTCCTCCTATGGAGGGACCTGAGAAGAAACCCAAGGTTCTTATCTGCCCGGTGGGAGGCTGGTCTATGGGTGGAGAACATCAGTGGATTAAAAACCTAGGGACCCTGATCCAGGAGGAATAATCAGGTGAGCTCCTGAAGAGCAGGGGTTACATACTTGTTTCTCATCCTCACTTTCTGATTTTTACTATTTTCATTTTTCTGAGTTAAGCATTTGACATGCATGCAAAAGTATTACTCAGGAGAAAAAAAAATCATCTACAATCCAACCGAATGCTTTTGTGTTCACATGATTGATTTATTTTGTATCCATATCTATCTATCTATCTATCTATCTATCTATCTATCTATCTATCTATCTATCTATCTATGGAGATGGAGTCTTGCTCTGTCACCCAGGCTAGAGTGCAGTGGCACCATCTCTGCTCACTGCAACCTCTGCCTCCTGGGTTCAGGCAATACTCCTGCCTCAGCCTTCTGTGAAGCTGGGATTACAGGCACCTGCCACTGCACCTGGCTAATTTTTTTTTTTGTATTTTTTAGTAGAGAAGGGGTTTCACCATCATGGCCAGGCTGGTCTGCAACTCCTGACTTCGTGATCAACCTGCCTCGGCCTCCCAAAATGCTGGGATTACAGGCATGAGCGTGCCCGGCCTTCTATCCATATATTTTTTACAGAATTAATATTCCATATTCAAGGCTGGATTTTGTTTTTGTTTTTGAGTTTAACATAATAGTACATAAAATTTCCCCATATCATTAATCGCTGTTCATAAATATTTTAATAGATATATAATATTCCATAAGATGTTGACTCCCTCTTTTACTATTTTACTAAAGTTGAACTTCAAGGTTCAATTTTTATTTTTATAATTAACATTATGATGCACATCTTCATACTGAATCTTTGTCTGGCTTTTGGCTTATTTCTTTAGGAATAATTTCAGAAGGGGTAAATCCCAGGGAACATACTTTTTCCTCCATCTTTTTAAAGCAACAGCACATTGCCCAGAGAGGGAGTTTAAGAATTTACTGTTATTTAAAATTCAAGATGAATTAAGTTAGTAATAACAATTCTGGCTCCCATGGAAAAAATCTTGATATTCCTTTTTTCTTATATTTTAAGTATTTTATTTTAGAGACAGTGTCTTACTCTGTCATCCAGGCTGGAGTACAGTGGCGTGATCACAGCTCACTGTAGCCTTGCACTTCTGGGCTCCAGCAATCCTCCTTCCTCAGCCTCCTGAGCAGCTAGGACCACAGGTATGCATCACCACACCCAGTTAATTTTAAAATTATTTTTGGTAGAGATGGTGTCTTGCTATGTTGCCTAGGCTAATCTTGAACTACTGGCCTCAAGCAATCCTCCTGCCTCAGCCTTCCATAGAGCTGGGATTACAGCCACAGTGCTCAGCCAAAAATCTCGCTCTTGAAGATGCCGTAACACTGGATAATCAATGAAGGGCAGGAAACAGTGGGCAGTGGGAGAGAGAACCCCCACATTTACAGCTCCAGTGGGAAGTGAGTTAGGGAGATTTGTTCCTGCATACTCTTAGAATATTTTTATTCATTAAAAAAAGTGATCTTAGAACCTTAAGCATGTATGAGTTCATTTTCAGAGAGGAAATGGACTTCTCCATGTTCAGCAAGTTTGTACACTTCAGGGCTTCTTGGATGTCTCTCAGAGGTCACTGCTGAGGGTCACAAGCCCATTTGTATATTCTCATCAGGATGCCGATTTTAGATGTACCCAGGTCCTCTCTGGCTCAATGTATATTTGATGATCAAGACGGTCCAAGATATTACAAGTAAAAATATACCCCTGGGTGGGGCGTGGTGGCTCTTGCCTGTCATCCCAGCACTTTGGCCAAGGCAGGAGAATTGCTTGAGTCCAGGAGTTCAAGACCAGGCCTGGTAACATAGTGAGACCCCCATCTCTACAAAAAATTTAAAAAATTAGCTGGGAGTGGTGATGTGTGCCTGTGGTCCCAGCTACTTGGGAGGCTGAGGTGGGAGGATCACTTGAGCCTGAGAGGTCAGGGCTGCAGTGAGCTGTGATCTCACTACTGAACTTAAGCCTGAGCAACAAAGCAAGACCCTGTCTCAGAAAAAAAAAAATTAAAAAAAATAAACTCCTGCTTTAAGCAACTTTTATGACAGTGACATATTTTGTGAATGTAAAGTTCTGAGAGAATTGGGAATGAAAACATTTCTGATTTTCTATTTCTATTGAAAGTTCAAATGTTCTGTAGCAACCAATCATAGACTATCACAAATAGAATAAAATTAATTTAAGTAAAATTAATTTTACTCATTCAAATCCCATCTCTGTTTAGCATAGGAGTGAATGTCTGTATTTTTTACTAGTCTTTCTTTTTTTTTTTTTTTGAGACAGGGCCTCACTCTGTTGCCCAGCCTGGAGAGTAGTGGCATGATCATGGTTCACTACAGCTTTGACATCCTGGGCTGAAGTGATCCTCCCACCTCAGCCTCCTGAGTAGCTGGGACTACAGGCATGCATCATCACACCCAGCTAGTTTTTGTATTTTTTGTAGAGATGGGGTTTCACTATACTGGCCAGGCTGGTCTGGGATTTCGGGTGTGAGCCACAGTGTCCAGCCAAATGTGTTTATTTAATGGAAGGAAAAATAATCATTACACACACAAACCCACCCCTTATTCATGCAATAGTATTCTTGTAAAGAACACAACACGCCTCACCAACATTATTACTCTAACACCTTGCTCTAACCCACCCAGCTGGCGAGTTGCTCTCCTGATTTTCATGGAAAGAAATGGGGTTCAAAGGAGATATGTGACTTGTTCAACAAGGCCCATGGGAAATAAAGAACAAACCGAGAACAATCTATAGACTCTTGCTAGAACATTCTGTCTGCCCAACGTTAAATGGCAGAGGCTGGTATCCTTGTCCTTACCGGTGGGTTTGACGAGGACTGCCAAGAAGTCTGTGGTGAAGGAGCTGATGTAGAGGAGAATGCAGGGCACCTTGGTGGTGCTGAAGCTGAAGCGGATCTCCTCCTGGGCCAGGTCCTGGGTGGGAGTTCTGCTGGTCGGGAGAGTTCTCTGCTCTGCTGCCAGAGTCTCTGGTGTTGATTGCTGGTGCCTGGAAGTTATATCGTAGCCACATCCCTTCCTCAAAAAATGCGCCAACATCTATTATAAAGGAAAGAGGGAATTGAAAAATGAGGAGAGGTCTGATGCTGATATCATACAATATCCTCTCCAGCAGTTTATGGCAGGTAGACACTGGTTCCAGGAAGGGCATCTGACTAAGTTCTATGCAGAAAGATGTTATGTCATCAACACAAATACTCTTATCAAAAAAAAAAAAAAAGGCATGTAACAAAGTATGATATAGTAGTCTGTTCCCATGCTGCTAATAAAGACATACTGGAGACTGAGTAATTTATATTAAAAAAAAGAGGTTTAATGGACTCACAGCTCCATGTCACTGAGAAGACCTCACAATAATGGTGGAAGGCAAAGAAGGAGCAAAGTCATGTCTTACATGGTGGCAGGCAAGAGAGAGAGAGCACGTGTATAGGGGAACTCCCATTTATAAAACCATCAGATCGTGTGAGACCTACTCACTATCATAAGAACAGCACAGGAAAGACCCACACCCATGATTAAATTACCTCCAACCAGGTCCCCCCTACAACATGTGGGGATTAGGGGAGCTACAATGTGAGATCTGGGTGGGGGACAGAGACAAACCATATCATATGGAAATCTACAAAATTTAAAAAATAATAGTAAAATTTAAGAAACTTACATTATACCAGAAAAAAATTTCATGTATTAATTAAAATGTTTCACATACCCTGAACAAAATTTCACGTACTCAGACCAAGACCAAGGAACTAATTTTTGCGTTGAAGAGACATGCTGAAAATAAATCCCTGGTACAAAGACCTCATAGGGGCATCCTCTTTGAGACTGAATTTGCTTGGATATTCACACAGGAAAGCCTTTGATAAACCCTAGGTCCTTAGAGGCTTGGTGTATAGGGTTTACAATCACATGTCTCCAAGTTAGAGAGAACTGGGTTCAAATTTGACTCTGCCACTAAATAGCTGTGTGGCCTCAGGAAAAGTTACTTAATGAATTTTTCTGGGCCTTGGTATTTCATCTGTGAAGTGGAGAGTAATTAGTACTCAATAAATAGTATCCATTGTTATTATTAGTATTGATAATTTAGAAGAAAGAAACCCTTCCTGCATCAGCCTTTTCCTAGAGCCTGGGCAGTGCTTACTGGCTACTAGGCACTTTGTGGCCAGCAAGCTCCTGTTGCCAAAGCCTCCCTGCTGTTTGCTCGTGTTCGAAATCACCGGGGACTCACTGTGAAGGGCTGAGCCACCCTGGGGCTCCTATGGTCTTCACGGTTTCTGTTTCATGGCCGTCTACAAGGGCTTTGCTGAAAGCGTTTCTCACACTCCATCGCCCATGCAACCATTAATCTCACAACACTTGACATCCCACTAAATTAACACTATGCAGAATATATTTTGCAAAACTGCTCTACGTTATAATTAACGGGAGAGGACAGTTTTTAATAGGAGTCTTCCATCTGGGAATTTTGATGTTTGTTCTTGTTAAAGAGGTCAGCACAGAGCAGTGAAGTCCAACACGTGGGGGTATATCTTGCCCTTGTCTGTAGCAGCTGTGTTAACTTGGGTCAATGTCTTGAAACTCTCTCTTCCTCAGTTTTGTCTCTAAAAAATGAGGCCTCACAGGTGGTTGTGAGGATTAAATAAACTGTATAATGCATAGCTTAGTGCCTGGAATATCTAAGTGCTCAGAAAAGATTAGTGAACTCTTTGTTATTACAGAGACAGGTTACCATTGTATATTGAGGGTGACACTCCCGTCCCCCACCTCACAGCACCACACACATGTGTGAAAGCTGTCAGAATCAAAATGAAGTTATTAATGTTAAACAAAACAAAACAAAACAAAAACCTGAGAAATAGAGCTGGGGAAGGGCATGAGGGGAGTGTTTCATGAATATATGCTTGATCATAAGAACCACCACAAAGACTCTGCAAAAAGCACAACATTGCACAAAAACCATTGCAATCTTACACAAAAAAATACTTCAAGAACATCTGCCCAGAATTTGCCTGTCCAACCTTGGACTGGTGTCACCTTTGTTGCTGATCTTTGTAGCCAAGGATAATTATTTCAAAACAATTACATACCCCTTCTCCTTTTTCCCTTTCAAAACCTTTGTCTTCACCTCCCTGATATGCACGGTTTACTATGGCATGCACATTTCCATTGCAATGCTTTATTTCCAAATAAATATCTTTTATTTTAGGGAGGCTCACTCTGTTACGTAGGTTGACACATACGATCCACCGTGGCATGGTTATAGAGTCCATTGCTTCTCACCGAGTTGCAAGGGAAAGACTTAACCACAGGTTTTCAACTATAGGGAGTGCAATTTTCCTCCTGGTCCTCTTGCCCCCAAAACTTTTGCAACTGTGTGTATAGGCGGGGTAGTTGTCAAAATGACTGTGGGGTTACCAATGAAATTTAGTGGGCATAGGATAGCTGCGTGTCCTGAAATGTGTGGGGCTGTCTTACGCAATTAAGAATTCTCCTGGCCAGCCGGGTGAAGTGGCTCATGCCTATAATCCCAGCACTTTGGGAAGCTGAGGTGGGCGGATGATGAGGTCAGGAGTTCGAGACCAGCCTGATTAGCAAGGCATGGTGGCACACGCCTGTAATCCCAGCTACTTGGAAGACTGAAGCAGGAGAATTGCTTGAACCTGGGAGGCAGAGGTTGCAGTGAGCTGAGATAGCACCACTGTACTCTAGCCCCAGCGACAGAGTGAGACTCCGTCAAAAAAAAAAAAAAAAAAAAGAACTTTCCTCCTCCACATGCCAAAAGTATCCTTCTTGGAAAACACACGATTGAACAGCTACTTAATCCATGCTCATTGCTGCCTCATTTACTGGAGTGTGAAGATGAACAAAATTCAGTCACTTCCTGTGAGATTTCCATCTAGCAGTGGGTGTGGAAGGAGAAGCATCAACAGTCTGAGTGTAATACAGTGAATGTTATGGCGGTTTATTTAGCAACTATGTGATGAGAACCGCATCTCACTGCCTAAAGGTCCTGAGTTAGCTTTCAGCAAACATCTGTTGAGCACTGACTGCACGCTGGGCACGACGCTGCTGCTGAGGTTACCATTCTTGCTCTTAAGGAGCTCTGGATCTGGAAGAGGACTCAGATAAACAGATTATTAGCATGCAGAGGGGTAAGTGCAGGCTCAGGCAGAGACAGAGGCCCCTAAAACACAGGAGCAGTGGAAAACTTGCTGTGGGAAAAGACATCTAAGCTGGGACTCAAAGAGCCAGAGGTGGGTAGCCAGGTACAGGGGGCAGGGATGAGGACCAGCTTTCTAGCTGAAGGCACAGTGTATTGGCAGTGAGAGGGTCTGAAGTCCGAGGCATCATGTTGCTTGGACAAAATTCATGTGCTTTAAAAAATCTGTTTTTTTGATAAGGAGTTTTGTTTTTGTTGCCCGGGCTGGAGTGCAATGGCGTGATCTCAGCTCACTGCAACCTCCGCCTCCCAGGTACAAGCAATTCCGCTGCCTCAGCTTCCTGAATAGCTGGGATTACGGGCACGTGCCACCACGTCTGGCTAGTTTTTTGTATTTTGTTCCTCCATATTGGCCAGACTGGTCTCGAACTCCTGACCTCAGGTAATCCACCCACCTTGGCCCACCAAAGTGCTGGAATTACAGGCATGAGCCACTGCGTCTAGCCTCATGTGCTTCTATAGAATCAGTCATTCACTTGAGATCCCTGAGGCTCCCACCACATTTCAGCTGGGTGTTGGGGATCCCACAAGCAAGGCACAAGTGATCCCTGCCCTCAGTAGTTGAGAGTCTGGCGGGACAGATGGACACTCCTAGGACAGGCTTCTGTAAACGTGTCTAACAGAGGACAGGGGAGGGAAGAGGGGTCAGGAGGGGCAGGTGGGGCAGCAAACACACTGCGCAGTTCAACTTGCCACAGACAGGTTCTGCCAGAGAACGTGAGGGTCATTACCTGAGAACAGGCTCCTGCAGCGCGGGAGGGGAGAGGTAGATGTGGGGCTTGGCGGGAGGGTGGGAGGCAGCCTAGAGATGGAGGCTGGGGGGTTCAAACAAATCAGAGTGGGGCAGGAAGGCTGGTGTGCAGAAGACACGTCATTGGAAATTCAAGACTAAGAAGCACAGAACCTAGGGAGGAAGGGGTCTGGGCAGCAGAGATCCCAGCACCTGAGTGACAGAGGTAGGGCATCATCCGCAAGAACCACTGCTTCCAAGTGTTAGTGTCTCTCCAGTTACTTCATCCCGGAGCCAGAACTGGAGTCAGAGCGCATGCAGAGCTGAGACTCTGACATCATTTCAGGGACCACTTTCCTGGAAGCCTATTATAAAGCGGGTCCCCAGGCCTAGTCCCAGAATTGAGCTCAGAGGTTCTGGAGAAGCAGCACTTCTCACAGGTTCCCAGGTGATACTTAAGTGTGCGAGGGTGTGAGATGCTTGGAGTGGAAGCTGAGGCGGGATAATGCACCTGGTGGGAAGGAAGCTGAGTGGTCCCCACTCGGGTGAGACGTGATGCGTTTATCAGCTGCCCTGGAGACAGCCATTCTAAGGCAGATGTTGAAGGGAGATTCAGAAATCCAGAGATTTTAGATAAACAATCCAAAAATATGCTTCAGAGAATTCTTGGGCTATATTTTAGAGACATCATTAAAAAGCTTTACGGATTTATGTCAGTATTGGAGGAAGGGATATACCATGTTTAAAAGTGTTATTCTGAAAACACATCATAAAGCAACGGTTAAACCAAGGCCTGGGAGTGATGTGAGTCTTCTGAGGCTCCACGTGGCAGATTTACAGCTGTCATTTCATTGTTTCACATCTCTTTAAGAAAATGCCAAATCAGGGTACTGAGATATCTTTTAGAAACCAATTCTTTTATCTCCTCTGAATGAATAATCGAAAATAACTCTAGTTTAACAAGCCCAAAGTAGCATCGTTTCCCTCATAAAATTATCAAAAAGCACTGATTTAGAATGCTTGATTTAAGGTTTCCTATTAGTAATATAGATACTAGTAATAGATAATACTAATAGATATAGGTAATAT